GCTCAGCCCACCAGGGGGCGGGGCTGTCTGGCATGTGGTGCTGGGGGATTGAACCGCGGTCCCTGTGTTTTGCTTAGCTTAGCTTGTTCTAAGTAGGTGCTTTAGACCACTGAGCCATCTCACCAGCCCCTGACCAAACTATTTTCTGAAGCAGCCATACAAATTGCCAAGCCCTGGTCACTCCACATCCTCATTGGCACTTGGCGTCGCTGGGCTCTGCTTGTTTGTCATTCTCACAGCGCACAATAGTGATATGTCATTTCAGTTTTAATGACTAATGATGGTTGTCATCCTTTCACATACTTATTAGCTGCTAACCACAGATCTTCTTTTGTTTAGTTTTGGTGCATATCATTTGCCCTTTTATTTATTGGGTTGCTTTCTTCATGAGTTACGAAAGTTAATTATGTGTTCTTCACACCAGTTCTTTTTTTTTTTTTTTTTTTTTTTTTTTTTTTTTTTTTTTAATTAATTTATTTTTTTGTGTGTGTGTGTGTGTGTGTGGCCAGCTCAGCCCACCAGGGGGTGGGGCTGGCTGGCATGTGGTACTGGGGATTGAACTGCGGTCCCTGTGCTTTGTTAAGCTTGTTCTAAGTAGGTGCTTTAGACCACTGAGCCATCTCACCAGCCGGCACCAGTTCTTTATCAGATATCTTTTTATTTTTGAGACAAGGACTCACCATAAATTTCAGCCTGGCCTTGAACTCACTGTGAAGCTCCAAGCTGGTTCCCCCACACACACACACGCTGGTCTTAAGCGCAGAGCAATCCTCCTGCCTCAGCCTTCTGAGTGTTGAGATCACGGGCATGCACCACCTTGTCCGGTGCAAGCATTTTCTTTCAGCCTGTGTTTCAACTTCATTTCGTTATCCTTGAAGATATGTTTTTAATTTTGATGAAATCTCTCCATTGTTAATCAGGATCTCACTGAATTACCCAGGCTGGCCTTTAATTTATGGTCCTCCTGCCTCAGTTTCCCAAAGAGTTGAGATTATAGATTTATGCTAGCCACCATGCTTAATGGACAGAGATAGAGCTCAGCAGCACAAGTGCCTGCCTGGCAGGCGCAAGGTCCTGAGTTAGATTCCCAGTAACAAAAAAAATCTTTATGACACCATGTTTACCTGATGAAATCCACTGTAGTAATTTTTTAGTTTTCCTTAAATGATTTGTTTTTTTTCCTAAGAAGTTGTTGCCTAGGAGCTGGGGATATATATAAGTCTCAGCAGTATAAGTGCCTCCAGGCAAGCACAAGGTCCTGAATTCAATCCCCAGTACCAAAAAAAAAAAAAAAGAAAAGTTGTTGCCTAACCTGAAATCACAATCATTTTTTCCTAAGTTTTCTTTCTTTCTTTTTTTTTTTTTTTTTTTTTTTT